TGACGCGTGGCAAATATACCAACACTATCCCATCTCTTTCCCAATCCAATGATCAAAGCTATTAAGCATAAACCCCACACTCAACTCATGTACACTTAAGTCTGAGCTGAACAGTCCTTGTTTGTACTGCCCCGCCTGGTACATCCCGCCTGAGACCGAATTTGAACTGCGTCACTGAACCGCCAATAACCAATTGAGCGCCGGCTCAAATCTCGAAAGATTTCTAGTGGAAGCAACCATGTTTGGACCGCGTCTAGACGCGGATCAAAATATTTAAATTTGAACTCTGATATATGGGTTATTTGTACATAACAAATAGAGCAAAGAGCTGATCCCTATTCATTGGGTCAGAGCACTGGAGATCACTGCAGTATGCACTAAACGCTTAGTTAAGGGCAAGGTTATAATGCAAGGAAAGTTATTTCAGAGGTGTACGCATCTTTTGTACTGCAGTGTAGTGTCTCTAAGAGGTAATGTAAACACAAGACGAATGTCACAGCCTGACATGGGATCCATCTTTCACATAAAAAATCAATGAATTATTCTGGTCATAGGAAGCTATTATGTAAATTATCAAAATTTTCAAAACTCAATGCTTTTATCCTCCTCGGATACTAAACGAACACTCATGTTTACAAATTCCGCCTATTCAATATGTACGCAGAGTATACGCAGCTGCAATAAACTTTCCTTGCATTATAACCTTGGTTAAGGGTGAGTCTGTGTCCAGCAAATGAATGATAAAGGAAATTTAAGAATCATGCTGTCCCATTACTTATCATTATTATGTCAAAATAATTTTTTAAATTTAGTTAGTATGTGATATTCGACCTACAGTCAGGTTCATTGGAGAAAAAGGTTGATACCTGCTCTGGGACCTGCCTTGGCACCTGGCGGGGGATATCCTTGCATACTTCAGTCTCAACCTATATTAAGTCGGTTTAATCATTTGGTTTTTTAAATTTTTTAAAAAAACTTCTCCTACATTTCAAAACTGTATTCTGCTATAGGAACAATCGTATTTACAAGTGAACCTGGATTCCAAGATGATATGCTTGAATCACAACAGTAGCCTTGAAATCTTTTTCTAATCAAGTATGAATTAGATACCAATTTTTATCATTTTGTAAACAAATTATTGTGGGTTTTCTACTAAAGTGATTCGCGCATTTCTACTGCAGGAAAACATAGATAAATAAATTATCAGATTTGAACACTTTTAACGGTTTCAAGGATACCAAATCCGGCATTGCAATTTCTTCATGTAGGGTCCTTTTCACATGTCCCAAAATTACGCAAAGTTTAAGAGACGCAAATGTTTAGAATATACAATATTGAAAATTTTGAAAACTTTTTAAAGTCCATTGCATTACACATTGCACTACTTGCAAGTTACAAAATTACAAAAGTTTGGAGGATGTGATGTGTTCAAAAAATTGAGTCGTTGCTGCAAACTCAAATGTTCTAATCCCTATATCTTTGCAACCGGATGGTGTACACCTTTTATTTGTTCTCACAGAAATTATAGTTTTAGGTTACAAAGATATAAAAATGAGCAAATCAGAGTTTGTGGCAAGACTCAATTCCTTTNACGAAATAATTATAATTTTACAAATTTACAAATTTATTGATTTAAACTCTAATTATTGCAACCTTTGCCTCCTTGCTTGCAATAAAACAATGAATTCAAACATTTTTTTGCACTTTATATTTTTGCACTTTATTTTTGCAATGTTTATTGTTGATTGTTGAAGTACATTCTGAGGTTTTTAAATCTATTTAAATCCAATCTTGAATATGGTGTTTACAGGCAGTGCGGTTGCATTGAATTAGTTTATTTTCACCAAGAAGGGGGAACTTAAGACGTTATATATCCTGTAAACCGGGTTTCTGAAATGGGCTTTAGACGTAGTTTTTACAGCAACCCTTCGTTTTTAACCATGGTTTCTCTTCAAACTTTGTCTGATCAAGGAGGAATGAGATATCTTTCGTATTTTCTCAGGAAATTGGTTATTTCAAGTGTGGTTTCTGAACCCTATCCCTGCTGGGATACTTGAAAACCAGGATACTCTGAGGGGGGAAGGATTTACTTCCCCCCTCTAAATTCCATGTTTGATGTCCAAATGTGCCAAAAGATCATTGGAGAGCTCTTAGGCTACTTTTAGAATCTGAAAACAAATTTGCGAATTTGCAAAAATTGAATTTTTTTGTTGCAAAATCCAGTTTTATAGTTAAAATGTTTGCACAAAAAAATGGCAAAAAAATGATAAAATATACATTTTTTAAAAGCCCTGGTACCATGCCATAATAATCCATAATGTGTAATTAAGAAAAATTAAAAATGTGCAAATTGCTTTTGACAGGTAGTATGCAAATNTGAAGGGTAACCAAGAGCCATGAATGGTAACCAAGGGCCCTGAAGGGTAACCCAGTGCCCTGAAGGGTAACCAAGTGCCCTGAAGGGTAACCAAGGGCCCTGAAGGGTAACCCAGTGCCCTGAAGGGTAACCCAGTGCCCTGAAGGGTAACCAAGGGCCCTGAAGGGTAACCCAGTGCCCTGAAGGGTAACCCAGTGCCAGTAATAATATTTATAATAATAATATTAACAATAATGATAATGATAATAATAATAAAAAATATGATAATAAAAGTTATTGACCTGTCTATTGACTGGAACACACTGTTCCCTGGGCACATTGAAGCACTCTTCTCTCTCCACTTGTCTTGGAACATTCTGGCACTGTTCCCTGGCAACCTGAGCGCACTGTTGTCTGGGAACTTGACGGGGGATCTTGTAGCACTCTTGTTTCTCCTCTTGGCGACAAACCTCCTTGGGGACCTGGCTAGCGACCTGCTCACATTTTTGTTCAGGAACTTGTTTAGCTACTTGACGAGGAACCTGCTGGCATTCCTCCCTTGGGACCTGGGTACACTCTTCCTTTTCCTGCTGGCGGGGTACTTGACGGCATGAGACAGGATCGGCAGCTGGGGATCCGTAAGTATCTGCGACTGGATCAGCAGCGGGGGATCCGTAAGAGTCTCCTGCAGGGGCAGCAGCTGGAGATCCATAGGAGTCACCAGCTGGTGCACTGTAAGCTGTCTGGGTGGCAGCGGCTGGAGAGCCATATGAGTCTAAAGCTGGAGCGGCAGGAGCTCCATATTCATCAGCAGCTGGTTGATCGCACACCTCTTCATAAACAGTCTCGTATTGTGTCTCACACTTTGTCTCATACTTGGTCTCACACTTGGTGTCATACTCAGTCTCATATTCTGTTCTGTATTCAGTTCTGCAAACCTCGTTGTAAACAGTTTCATACTGGGTCTCGCACTTCGTCTCGTACTTGGTTTCGCATTTGTCCTCTTGAACAGTGTCATAGACAGTCTCACACTTGTTATCATAAACAGTTTCGCATTTTTGTTCATTGACTGTGTCATACTTGAGCTCACACTTCTGTTCCTGTATGGTAGAGCACTGCTGTTCAGTTACAGTTTCGTATCTTGTTTCACATTTCGTTTCATAGATGGTGTTGCAAACATTGTCATACTGGGTATCGTACTGTGTCTCATACTGAGTTTCACACTTCTGCTCTGTAACTGTGTCATACACAGTGTTGTAGATTGTCTCACACTGGTTGTCATACTTGGTCTCACACTTCTGTTCTTGTACTGTGTCATATTTAGTTTCGCATTTCGTGTCGTACTGGGTGTCGTAAACTGTGTTGCACTGCTGTTCATACTTGGTCTCATAAGAAGTTTCGCATTTCTCTTCTACAACAGTTTCATACTTGGGTTCACACTTCTCTTCGTAGACAGTGTCATACTTGGTCTCGCATTTAGTATCATACTCAGTGTCATAAACAGTTTCGCACTTGTTATCGTAGACGGTTTCGTACTTGGGTTCGCACTTCTCCTCGTACACCGTCTCGTACTTGGTCTCACATTTGGTGTCATACTGGGTATCGTACTTGGTCTCGCACTGCTTTTCATTGACGGTGCTGCACTGTTCCTCGTACTGGGTTTCGTATGTGATCTCACATTTATCCTCATAAACCTGGGGNCGTTTTAGATTTAGTTGGATATCTACACAATTATAAAAATCGATATCGCTATTTTGTTCGCCTAGATTTTATTCAACTTTAAAGCTTGGGAAATACTGCAATTCCAATTATCTTTCAGGCTTAATTACCTTAAAAAAATATATGTGAATTTATTAAACAATGAAATGCGCAAATTGCTTTTAGGAAATGCGTGAAACATACTTGAAAATAATGATGGTCGTTGGTCAGTAACAGCGGTAGCGGAGAGAAATAATATATCAATAATTGAACAAACAATATTTTTGGCATGAGAGCTTGTCCAAAAATTATAAATCTGCTATAAACCAATATTAAGTTAAAGCGCTTGCATTTAAATATAAAGTTTGTCCATATCAAGGATTAAAAAGAATTCTATAAAATTGATGACAATTTTCCTGTTCGCATTTAGTTTCTTGAACGGTATTGCAGACAGTATCCTGCACTGCTCGGCACACATTCTCATAGTTGGTTTCACACTGAGTTTCATATTTAGTTTCACATTTATCCTCATACCTAGTTTCACACTTTTCCTCCTACACTCACAAACAAACGATTAGGTTGGTCAAAAGAGATACCATAGGGTTCTGAAGGGAAACCAAAGGCCCTGAAGGGTAACCAAGTGTCCTAAAGGGTAACCAAGGGTCCTTATGGCTAACCCAGTGCCCTGAAGGGTAACCAAGAGCCATGAAGGGTAACCAAGGGACCTGAAGGGTAACCAAGTGCCCTGAAGGGTAACCAAGTGTCCTAAAGGGTAACCAAGGGTCCTTATGGGTAACCCAGTGCCCTGAAGGGTAACCAAGAGCCATGAAGGGTAACCAAGGGCCCTGAAGGGTAACCAAGTTCACTGAAGGTTAACATAATACCTTTTTGGGTAACCCAGTTATAACTGTAGAATTATAATCTTTTTGTTCCTGAATAGTTGAACATTTATCTTCATAAACTGTATCACACACTTTCTCATTTACAGTATCGTATCTAAATATTATTTTTTATATTTCACATAAATTATGTAGCCATAGAGATCTGTTGTTCACAATGATTCCCTTTATTGATGGAGTTATTCTTGTATTTTTGTCTAAATATTAGTATATTTCCATTGCGGTTTCTATAAAAAGGCGACTTGCAGTTTTGGTTTAACGCGGTAGAGACAAGGAAGAATATTATTTTTTATTCCTTTTCCCAATTCTTACTCAGATGTATAGATACAGGATACAGGGGTAACCACAAAGGATGAGACTTCAGAGACGACTGTACAGAATGTATACTGTCTGTTTCCTTACTCCCTTCAACTGTAAACTTTTTTTATAAAACCCTTAAAAAGGCAACAAAAAGACTATATTTAAAGCAAAAAACTTAATTTGACCTTGAAATCGTCATATTTAGAGAATCCCAGAGACAGTACACTGCAGTACAAAAGATGTGTACACTTCTGAAATAACTTTCCTTGCATTATAACCTTGTACATACCTTGTTTCACATTTCTGTTCGTACAGAGTTTCACACTTTGTATCGTATTCAGTTCTACAGGCAGTCTCATACTAAACAGAAAATATATGAATATATAAATATATCATTTTTTTATCTTCCCTTCCCCCTTCCCCCTAACCTTCTTTTTGCAGGACGTGTCCGTTTACGATATATTAGCATTGCTTGATTGGCAGTTTTAAAGATTTTTACAAAAAGAAGGATTTTTACCAAAGAGAATAGAATATATAATAGAGTGGAATTTAGACAATCCCACCGTATGAATTTTGTCAGTCCCTTTCAGCCTGAAAGGGAGTTCAAAGTGTACAAATCATGTAAATGTTCACAAATTATAAGCAGTAAAGTACATTAATACAGTATGTTCCCTAGACTATNAAGGTCAAATTAACCCCCCCCCCAGCAGGAATAGGGTCTGATATTACCTGGGTTTCACATTTATTTTCGTAAACAATTTCACATTTTCGATCATTTATTGTCTGACATTCAGTCTCGTAGATCTGCTCACATTTCTCCTCCTAAAAATAATCATAATAATAATAATAATAATAATAATAATAATCAAAAATTATTTTTTCTACGATATTTTTGTCTTTAGAAATGCAAAATTCATTATTATAGAACAGCCAAAATGGAAAGGAAACAATTTTCAATAAGAAAAGGATGGATATCTTATTCAATCTTGATCAGACAGTGTTAGGTACTTTTCTAAAGGCATTTTCCCAAGGGCATACTTCCCAAGTGACAATTTCCCAAGCGGCAACTTCCCAAATGTGCAATTTACCAAGCGGCAACTTCCCAAAGGTTAGGTTAGGTTAGGCTGTAATGGGGGCCGAGCGCTGCGGCTAGAATGGGCTAGGAGGCAGAGCGCCACGGATATAACAGGGTGTGGGCCGAGCGCTGAGGCTAGGACTGAGAAGTTGCAGCTTGGGAAAAATCCTTTGGGAAAGTACCTAACATCAATCAGACAAAACTGTTTTGAATCCGACATTCCTAGAAATGGGAAGTCACTTAAAAATACAACTACAGCTACTTTAATCAATTTTTTAATCTTTAATATTTGGACATTTCTGAAACAAACCAGAGTCGTAGAAGTCGACTAGCCAATCAAAAGCCGAGAAATTTTGTAATTTTGTGAGCAATCAATGGGATACATCTCATTGGTCAGAATCCAGCACAGGGATATCCAAAAGAGAGGATTAAGAATAAAATCATACAGGGTGTCCCACATCATATTAGACCGTTAATGGGTCTAAATTACGATTTCCGGGACTAATCAGAAAATAAAATTAGAATGAATCATTTTGAAAAATAAAATAAGGCTTATGTAAGAATTTCGGCGTTAAAGCTTGGAGATAATCTAACATGATATGGGACGCTCTGTAAGTGCCTAAAGTGGATACAGATATTTAGCAATCGGGATTAATGGTATCCAATTCAAGAGTTTTCAGCACAGGGGCTCTAGATTAACTAAGTAGCAAGAAGTAGGTGAACCGCGAATATTAAGTTGAACCACTTCTCTTGAGCGCCGGTTCAAGCTAACCTTTTGAATATAATTTGTTGAGCCATGTCTATGCGGTTCAACCATATCTGGCCATTTATTAAATATGGGCCTGTTATTGCACCCCCCACCCTGGCTTATAAACAAGATCAGCGTGGAGTTTATTAGAAAATAATGCAATTAAGCCCCTGGACCCGGCACAACAAGGATTCTATTTAGAGACTTCAACGACCGCTTATAATGATGATAATCCGTTTATATCTAATTAGCAGCGATCAAGTCGATGTGAATAGGTGAGGAGGG